ATTTAGTTATTATCGGTCACTACCGTAGTAGTGAGAACATGAAGACATGGACTTCTGTCATGTTTTAGGATAGACAGTGCTTCCTCACATATGGTAAGTTTTCAGTCTGTTAAATAGTGGATGGATCTTCATTCTGGGAATAAGCCATAAACTCCCTGAGGACAAGCACATGTTTCAGACATTTGAATTCCCTTCTCCATCCCTTGTTATTTACAGGCAAATATACTCAAATGCTCTCAGAGTCTAAAGAGAATTCCTCTCTGGCAAATATCTCCCCATTTACAGAATGGAAGTTGTCCCTCCTCCTCGGTGGGAGATTATTTCCATGACTCCCAGTAGATATTGAAACCATGGACAGTAATAAATTCTATGTATTCACTATAGTTTTCAATACTTACATACCTATGATAACATTTAATCTGTAGATTGAGACAAATTAAGAACAACAATGATAACATAGATTTACTATATAATAAAGTTAATGTGTTCACCCTTCTGTTATGATGTCAGGCACACCTATGTGGGTAGAAGACCCAGAGTCTGTGTGAAGAGAGAAGCACAGTGGATGAGGAAGATGCTGCAATGTAGCTTAGGCAGCACAATACTGAATAGCTAATGGGTGGGTAGCATCCGTGGTGTGGATGCACCAGACAAAGTATGATTCATTTCGAGAGCAGAAATTTCTTTACGCTGCCCAGAATGAATGGCTACATTTTTTTTTTTTATTTTTGGTTTTTCAAGACAGGGCTTCCCTGTATTGCTTTGGAGCAATTTTCATATCATGATATGAAAATATACACTCAAATTAAAGTAATGCTTAGCTTTTAAAATCTGCATTCCACTCTGGATTTCCTCAACTATTCTATTCCATCAAAATCCATGGGTTCAAAACATATTAATAGACCGAGACACACAGTTTTAGAAACAGAGATCTGGTAGACCTCCCAAGAGCCTATGAAAAAAAGTGGGTCATCTTTGGGAGTGGAGACTAGGTTAACATCATTTCCTGGTGTCTTCTAAACATCCCGCTCCCCTGAGCTGAAGTTTTGCTTTTTTTGTTTCAGTTACCCACGACCAACTTTGGTCTGAAAATATTAAATAAAAAGTTTCCTCCAAATAATGTATGACTCGATGGACAGAGAAAGACATTTGCCACCAAGTCTAATAACTGAGTTCAATTGCTAGGACTCACATGTCAGAAGGAGAGTACTGACTCCTTTAAGTTGCCCTCTAATCTCTATACACATGATGTGTCATGGGTACATACTGATACCCCTACCCCTCCCTCTCCCATAGTAAGTAAGCTTTAAATTTGTAGCCATTCAGCTGGAAGTTGGTGGTGCATGCCTTTAATCCCAGCCCTTGGGAGGCAAAAGCAGATAGATCTCTGTGAGTTCAAGGCCAGCCTGGTCTACCCAGTGAATTTTAGGACAGCCAGAGCTACACAGAGAAATCCTGTGTCAAAAATCAAAACAACAACAAAAAGAGTTCCACAGAAAGCTTGAGAATTACTTGTCTAGATGTGCACAGAGGACAGGCACTTATGCACGCACACATGCACGCCCATGTGTACACGCACAAGCACACACATACACACACACTTTGGAGGCACCCATAATTGTAACTTTCAAGAGTGCAACTTGTCAGAAGCTGTGGTTTTAGTAGAGAGGGAAGATAGGCCCTAGCTTGGCAAGGAGAAAGATGGGGTGGATGTGTGAATATCTTACCATGCTCTCCCCCAGTCTTTGGCTCTCCCTCCCAGAGCACCCCACAAGTTCAGACAGGGATTGGGAGAGTCTGTTGATGCATTCCTTAGAAGCCAACCTCCTGGGGACACAGAACAGGTAGAGAGAATGCAGGATGGATCTAAAGAGGTGAATGCAGAATCTTCAGCTTCTGATCTCAGCTCTAACAAGAAGCCCTGAGATGCAGTCTTGATAGCCCAACAGAGCCCTTACCTCTACCCCAAAGACAAGATCACAATGGGACAAGTGGGGCATTATGCTGTCTTGGGCCACACTGTGAGCTCCTCCCTCAGTCTTACCTTAGTCACTGGACTCCCAGGGAAAAGCATCAGGCCAGAAGAAAAGCTGTACCCTTCATCCCCTAGGCATCAGCAGCTCTGCCAGCACTCTGGCATTTTGTTCATGATCTAATCATGGCCTGAGGTCAGTGGGTTTTTTGTTTGGTTGGTTGTGTTTCTTTTTATACAGGCTAGGGATTTGATTGTCTGGATGGCAGAAATTAATTCCTGCCAGGATTTCATATGCCTCAGAATTGAACCCCCTTGAGGAAAAAAGAAGCAGGGCAAAGAATGGGGGATGGGGTAAAAAAGGAGAATGCAGCCTTCCAATGGTGTGCCCCCACTGTGTACATTTTCAGACTTTGCAGGCAAATTTGTGGCCGCAATTGTGGCTAAAATATGAATGAATGTGGTTGTGTGCAGGTGCATGAATGACTGTAGTTTCTATGAATGAGTGCATTTGTGAGGAAGGATGTATGGGAACCCTTGCAAGCTGGAATAGTGGTTTGCAGATGCCTGGCTGGTTGAAAGCATCCATGGATAAGTCTGTGAGGTTAGGTTGGGGATACATAAGGGGAGTATTTGGTTTTCTCATAGAATCTGCCTTTTGTGCTATTGTTGTTGTTGCTGCTGCTAAAACATGAACCATTAGCAACTGTTTGGTCCTCCCAGAAGCCCCAGAGAAGGGGAAAACAGGCAGTCTATTTGTCATCACTTGAAGGCTCTTCTGGCCACTAGGAATTGTCCTTAGATAAACTCTAGCCCCACAGTCTCCTGTCTAGTCCCTGATACTCTTCCTTTCTGCTTAGCAAGGGGCAGGTGAGCAGTAGCTAAGTAGGATTTTTCTCTGACCTGCAGCCTGCTAACCCACTAGCCTGGTAGGGGGGAATTATGCAGATTGTGTCCTTGCCTGATATGCTGGGGTCTACATTTGATACCCTCCTCTTTCCCAATCAGCTTTCAGAGAAGGAGGAACTTCTTAATTTGGGATACAGTGATAAGCAAAGCTGATTGAGGGGGAGGTGAGAATTGTAAATCAGACCTGATGAATATGTTAAAAATTAGGGAAGGTCCACTTAATTAAAGTCATATGATTTAAATACGACTTCTCCTCCACCCAAGGCCTCATACATCCATCCTTTGTCATCCAAGTGGTCTCTGTGAATGCCCCATGCACAATGGTCCCAATTAGTTCCCTTGTTAACAGACTGGCAGATGCCAAGGACTGAATGGGTCAGGGAGACCAAATTCTTTCATCATCTAGAGGCAAGTGTAGCCCATTTGAGGAGGGCGAATCAGGGGAAGGGGCAGAGGATCAAGAAATGCAAGAAATGAAGACAACCAGATGATTATCACATCCCTCCTCTGAAAACAAAGATCTGAAAGTAGCATGGTGGAGGCAATTGGTGTGCAAATAAAGAAGTCACAGGTACGTGTGGAATGTCTGATTGCAAAACAGACTTTTGGAAATTACACTGTTTAGCTATGTAAAGGACATAATTGTCCCCAGTAACAAGCACATGTTTAATAAATGCAGATTTAAATGATGCAATTTTGGCATCAGGTTGCGTGTTTAAGTTCCCCTCAGATGATGCCTCCTTCTATTTTGAGGCATGAATTCTGTACCTTTACTGCCAAGCAATCACGAGAGGAAGAATATCCCAGAGTCCTTGTCTATGAATGTACTGCCTTCACAAAGTATGAATGTGCTGGCACTTTGTGTCTGTCTGTATGAATGGGGGTTGCATGTGTTGGTCAGAGGCCACGTGAGACACGTGGGGTGGGAATTGTGTCTTTGAAAAAAAATGAATCGGGAGAAATGAAACAGATAAGCTATGAATGGCACAGGACTCTCCCGTGGTGCCCCTCCACCACAATGCCCCTCACCATAAGGCACACCTGTTTTATTAAAATGAATTCCTGGCTTTGCATATATTGATAAACTAATGTCTGTACTTGTGTGCCACTGTTCACGAGGTCCAGACTTGGGAGGAAAAAAAAAAAAAAAACAGGGCTGCAACACAAAAGATACCGCAGTCAGCTCAGGCAGGAAGTTATTTTTAGATCAGAAAAAAAGAGGGGGGAGAAAAAGAGAGAGAGAAGAACCACTTCTGGGTTTTGCAATCTAATTTGGTCCCCTTTCTTAAGGGGAAAAAAAATCCCATCGATGGCAATTTCCATACAATCTGATTCTATTTGGCTTCTAGCAAAGACGAGGAGATCTAGGGCTGAAAATTCTGGAGTTTTATGGCTGATTCTAGCTAGTAGCCTTTCTTCACCAGGCTCCAGCTGAATTAATTTGATACTATTTTTGAAAGTCAGTGTTTCTAAGGGAGACCTAATGACGCACTGACGTCAATGCAGGTCAATAGCACACGCTGCTGGAACTGGGCGTGCTACACCGAGCCAGGGCTGGAGCCTTTCCAAACAGCCCCAACTCTGCAAATATCCCAGCTTTGCAGGCGGGGGTGGGGGGGTGGGGACAGGGTTTTGTAAACACCAAGACCCCCATCATTTTTCCAGAGCCTCTTTAGAATCGATGCATATTTTCCTGACTCGAAGAAAGGCTAAATAGATAGAAGCAGTCGCACTGCAGCATAAAAAAAAAAAAAAAAAAAAAAAAAAAAAAAAAATACCTGTCAAAGGAATTGTATGTAATTCGGGCAGCGTGCGCGCACACACATTTACACTCAGAATGCAAGGCATATCATTAGGGTGTGTCTATAAATAGACCCCAGTGTGTATGCACTGGGACTTAATCCCTGGTCGGGGTTTTCGAACGTGGGTGATAAATTCTGTGTTCTGATCAGTTACCCGGGAGGTGCCTGAATGTGAGGGGGGAGGAGTGTGGGAGGGGGCTGCCTCCTCTCTTCTCTTTCCCTCTGGCTGCTCTTCTCTCCTCTCCTCGCCCCCCTCCTCTCCTCCTCCCTCTCTCCCACTACTCCCTCCCTCTTTCAGCATCTCCCCTACCCTCTTTCTTTCTCTCCTCTCTCTCTCTCCCCTCCCTCTCTCCCCCTCCCGCTCTCTTTTCCCTCTCCCTACAAGTCTGGCACTGAAGGAGAACTGTTTTGCTTTGCTCCGGGAAGAGTGCAGACACGACGTGAAATCCGGAGCTCTTTGCGTGGTGCATTTAAAATGCTTCCTTATTTATATTATCCTCATCTCCTCCCCTCTCCCACCCCCTCACCAGTCCTTCCAATTTTCCCTAGAAATCTGTGTAAAGCGTGGAGGGGAAAACATTTGCATAAAAAGTGAAGGAGCTCGCCAAGGTAGGTTAAACCATGCACTGCCTTGTGTTTGCCTTTTGCAAAGTTTATGATGTCAGTTGGTGAATGTTCGGAAGAGCAGTTCTTTATGACTGTCCGTGATTACTGTCTTTTTCATTGAACAATATCTATGCAAATTGCCTAGACTTCTTGAGCAGGCTTTGCTAGGGTCTGGTGTGTATGGTTCTTGCAAGAGGCATGCCAATTCGGGAGTCAGTTATAGTGTTCAACAGGGAAAGAGATGCTGTGCTGTGGGGTGGGGGTGGCAGTGTGGAGGGGGCTTCTTTAGTGGGCAACTGCTCCTTCCAGTTTGCCAGATTTGGGGCTGATTCTCATTCACTAAATGTCTTCATTATCCTGGTAATGATTTTGCACATGAAAATCTAGTTCCAACAAGGTTTCATGAAGTCAGAACAAAGTGAGGGGGAGTATAGGGTGATAAAGACAGTTGGGGCATGCTAGTGGTGGCTGTGGCAACGATTCCGTAATAGAGAATTTAATCTCTCCTCACAGTATCTGGGGGGAAATGCTAAGTCTTTAATGGGTGTAAGCAAAAATGATTTTATAAAATGGGAAAGAAATGTTTCCAGTGCAAGAGGAAAAAAAAAAAAAAAAAAAAAAAAAAAAAAAACGCTGCAGCTCACAACCACCTGTAGAGGGAAATCTTTATGCACAATTTCGTAGGGCCGGTTGTGTGGAGGAAAACCGCCCGGAAAGGCGCCAGGCAAACTTTGCTGCAGGAGGAGAGGCAGGCCCCCGCAGAGTGAAGGGCGAAATCGCGGGGGCGGGCAGCCAGGGAGGGAAAGAATGAAAGCTCACCGGAGTCATCTACGAAGCCACAAAGTTGGCTGGTGTGGGGGTTTGGGTGGAGGATGGGGCGGGTGGGGGTGGGGTGTGGCGGGGGAGCGCTGAGATGGGCAAGCCTGAGCTAAGGTGTTTACAGGGTGTGTGGCGGGGTGGGGGACATCCTAGGAGGTTTTGCTGATGTGGTGTCAAATACCTCGTAGAGGTGTGGAGGTCTGAGTCCGGGGTTTCCCTGCAGCCTTGGTCTCTCCTGCCTCCAGCCCCTGCACAAAACCAGGTAGTAATCAACAAGTGTCTCTCCCAAAATTAGTTTTGAAAAGGACTTGGAGGGTTTTCTAATGGAGGTAAATGCACCGACTGTATTGTGTGTTGTAGAGGGGCATTCATTGTTAGGTAGGAGCTTTGAAGAGTGGAGGGGTGGAGTCAGGGGCTTCAACGTCAGTCATTTGACCTTGTGAAACAGAGTTCAAATCCTCCAGAGTGTTGAAAAGGCACAACCAAGGGTCATGATCCCGTCTTTCATCAGGAGCTTTGCAGGCACACGGAGGGAAAAAAAAAAAAAAAAAAAAATCTAGCGCCTGCTTTTGGCCACACCTCGTCAATGGGGATTCCATGTGTATGAAAGCAGGATTTTTTTTTTTTTTTTTTTTTAAATCTGGGGGAAGCAGGCAGCACACACTGTCAGCTCAAGTGCTGTGTTTTTTCTCCCCTGCACACGATCTTCTAGGAAACCTGGATCGCCTGCCTGTTCTCTGAACAGCAGCCTTTTCTGGGAGATGGCACACAAATGCGTGTGGGGAGGGGATGCTTTGGCTGTCTTTAAAAAGCGAAAGGAGTTTGCCGTTTGGATGTCTGGTTAAACTGAACTTGAGATGGGGAAAAGACAATGAGGTTTTGGAGCTGCGGTGGTGGAAGAGAGGTGGGCTGGATTACATGTCAAAAGGAAGGTGATGGTTTGTGAGTTTTTCCCCCTCCCAAAGGGGCAAAATGGCTGCGTCACCTAAGGCAGCTGATAATGAAATATCAACAAGAAGATGAGAAATTTCAGGAGGGTAGAATCAGCAAGCCATTGCCTCACCCTCTGGAGCTAGAAAAACCAAACCTCTCTGGACTGTATGGTGCACGCCTCCAATCCCAGGGAGGCAGAGACAGTTAGATCTCTGAGTTCGAGGCCAGCCTGATCTACTGAGTGAGTTCCAGGACAGCCAGTGCTACACAAAGAAACCCTGTTTCAAAAATTAAACAAACAGCCCTGCAGGGAAGAAAGGCACAGATGTAGGTGGCACCTGGGCATAGTGGGGCATGGGTGTAATCCTTGTGCTCAGAAGACAGAGCCAGGGAAACAGCCACAGGTTTGAAGTTATCCTGCTCTACACAGTGAGTTTGAGACCAGACTGGACTACAGAATGAGAGACTATCTTTCAAAAAAAGCCAGGGGTGGGATGGGTGGCTGGAGAGATGGCTTAGAGGTTAGGAGCACTAACTACTGGTCTTTCAGAAGTCCTGAGTTCAATTCCCAGCAATCACGTGGTGGCTCACAACCATCTGTGATGAGATCTGGTGCCCTCCCCTGGCCTTCATACATACATATGTGCAGACAGAATACTGTATACATAAAGGGGGGGAGTGCAGTGGGGAGTGCTGGAGAGATGGCTCAGCAGTTAAGAGCACTGGTAACTCTTCCAGAGGGCACAGGTTCTATTCCCAGCGCCCACATGGCAGCTCACAATTGTTTGTAACTCCTGTTCCAGGGGATCCAATACCCTCACACGGGCATACATGTGGGAAAAATTTCAATGTACATAAAATAAAAATAAATTATTAAAAGAAAAAAGGGAAGAGATAGAGCTGGGTACAGGCTGTAGTTAATGTGAAGCTCTGTCTAGCAAAAGAGAGCAGAGGGATTGTCGACTCCACCCTGGAGTAAAGCTAGACCAGCATGTCTGGTAGGCACTGCCCCATCACTTTCAGGCCACTGGAAGGATAGCAATGTCTTTTACAGCCTAGGAGGAGTTAAGACCGCCTGAGTTCGTCTTCTCAGATGGAAATTTCCCTATTCTTTACTCAGGTTAACAAGTGTTTCACTTGGATATAGACTAGAAAGAATGGTTAGGAGAGAAAGTAACCTAGTCTTGAAATCCAGCCATGTGGCCTCCGTCATCTGCTGAACCTATAAGTCCCTCTCTACTCTCAAATTCCAGAAGGACAATAGACCAATGTATATTCCTTGACACTTCCTTCTCACTAAAGGAGTTCCATGTCCATCAGCCACCCTATCCCCAACCCCAGAATCCACCTTTATCAGGTCTGAACACGCCCAGGCATGTGTCAAGTGCAGACATATATGCAAAATATATGTGCATCTATATGTGTCAAGATGGCATGAACACATGCAAGTATGCCCCCGGTTCTCACCACACAAAAGTCCAGGAGCAATGTACAAACGTCCTTCCTCTTCTACAAGTCCGGAGATGCCAGTTAAGAAATGCAACACCTGTTTTAGGGGTGGACCTGACATCCCTGAGTGTATGTGGTGAACCGGAATTTGCCCTGGGTTTCCTCATATTCATTCAGGAGTGTCAGTTGCCTCTTCACTCAACGTTGGAGAGAGTAACCTCAAGCAAAGACACAATCAATGAAAAGAATGAAGTCCCAACTTTTTTCTTCAGTGCCCTGGATAACCCTGATGTTTCCTCTTTCTCAAAAATGTGGGGGATGAGCAAGAGCAACCGTATAATTTGGAGACCCAATACAAAGTGAAAATGTAAGATGGCTTGTTCAAAAAGCATGAAGATAATAACATTAAAGATACTAAAATAAAAGGTTTTCTCTTCCTTCCATGGTCTCTCTAGACTCATTATGGAGCTGATCACATGCCATTCAATGTTGTGCTAAATAAACATTATTTTATTTTAATTGGTAGTGTGAATTTTACCACTCATCTTTTATACTGTGCAATGTTGGCTTTAAATACTTACAAAAGAACATCTAGCTTGTTTTCACAATCCCAGGAATTATACACCTCATGCTTAGTAGTCCATGCTTACCTTGGTATTTAATTCATACCAGGATGAGGATACATCAAGCAAAGTGAATTTTCCTGATTCTAGCTTACTTCTTGGTAAAGGTACAAAGTGTCAGTGCTCCCTGGCTTGCTGTCGAGCAGGGGATGTCTCAGAAGAAAAGCTCTATGGTTCACTTTCTCTCTATTCCTCCTAGGTCATGGTTTTCAGTATCCCACAGGTGGGTGGTAAATACAAAGAATGGTTGTGCTGCCTAGTTGTGTCAGTCTGACACAAGTAATAATCATCTGAGAGGAGGGATCCTCAACTGAGAATATGCCTACAAGATCTGGCTTGTAGACCAACCTGGAGAGCATCATCTTTACTTTTTTTTTTAAGATTTATTTATTTATTATGTATATAGTGTTCTGTCTGCAGGCCAGAAGAAGGAGTCATATCTCATAATAGATGGTTGTGAGTCACCATGTGGGTGCTGGGAATTGAACTAAGGACCTCTGGTAGAACAGCCAGTGCTCTTAACTGCTGAGCCATCTCTCCAGCCCCTAGAGCATTTTCTTAATTAATGATTGATGGAGGAAGGTCCAGCCTATTGTGGGTGGTACCATCCCTGGACTGGTGGTCCTGCATTCAACAAGAAAGCAGGATGAGCAAGCCACAATGAGCAAGCCAGTAAGCAGCACTTCTCCATGGCCTCTTCATCAACTCTTGCCTCCAGGTTCCCGTCCTGTATGAGTTTCTGACCTGATCTCCTTCAATGATGTTGAAGTGTAAGCCAAATAAACCCTTTCCTCCTCAACTTGCTTTTGGTCATGGAGTTTCATCTCAGCAATAGTAACCCTGACTAGGACAAGGACTATGAGTGAGAAGTACTGTGCTGGGGTCCATCAGTTACTGGTGATGTTTAGAGCCCTGTGGCTTCTCTCTTGCATTCAAAGCACCTTTCCAACAAAAAGCATGGCCTCTTAGAACTGTTGGATTCACATTTCCTTAATCCTAGACCTATAGCTCACCTACCTTGAGTCTGAGCTCAAACTGGCACTCCGCATGGGGCACTGCCAACAGAAAATAGAGAGGGAGCACATCCCATCTGTCTTCTTCATTTACTTACATGCTCCACTGTCCAACCAACTTACAAAATACAACTTCAAAGATAAGATAATCAAGAACTCCAGGGTCATAAATTTTAAGTGCTCATATCAAGCACTCAGCCCTTCTGAGCACAGGACCCTATGTGATGACTCCACATGTCACAAACTTTTGAAGACATCCTTGGCATGAAAGGTTGAGAATTGATCCACCTCCCAGACCAAGAGTCCAATTGCTCACCTTCCTCCATCAAGCAAATAACTCCATCTACAGCAGAAAACTTCAGCATCCTCCATTACTGATTGGCTAGAGGACTCTTCTTCTTTAACCAAATTCCTGTTAATTGATGTCTCAGCTTTGAAGACAGACCCTATCTCTCCCATGCAAACAGATGCCTTGCACTAGAGGCCAGGCTTTGGAAATAAAGTATCCACTCTGGTCCATACCTGTCATAACCAAGCTTGACTAGATCAGTCAGAACCTCTACCCAGTTGTACCTTTAGGTTTCACCATTTAACACAAATAAAATGATGCTCAACATGCTCCATGAATGACTGTGCCAGTGATTTAATGCTTATTCATTGTTGATCTCACCATCACTCTGAAGTCTATCTAGGAATCTCCTGGCTTGGGATGACATGTTTTTAGAAATTACTTTTGCAGTATAGTCAATTCATGTTGACATGAAGGAGTAAGAAGATTTGAGGTTTAAAGGGTCCAAGAGAAGATGATCGTGCATTCCTGATGGATCCCAGTAAGAAAGGAAATTTTCCTTCCTCCATCAAATGCCTTTCTGTTCTTAACCCTCTAAGGAGCAAAGCATGAATGATGCTCTGGACTAGGATAATATTAAAAATGCATCCAATCTGGAGAATGAAGACACTATTGACCCTGCAGCATTGGCTTAGGGGACTTTGAGGGTTGTGTGTTTCAACCTTAATCTGGCTTTTCTTTTCTGCCAGGCCCTTTAGGTGGCAGGAATGCCTTTTTGTAAAATATTTAGTTTGGTCTAAACTACTAAGACTGTGCAGGAAAAAGAAAAAGGAATTACACTTGTTTGTTTGTTTTTTCTGTAAGTTTTATTAGGCTTGGGACAGCTTCATTGACAGTCCAGTCAGTTAATGGGCAGGAAGACTAATCAGTGAATTATCATTTACTGTTTATGAATGAGCCTAGCACTGGGTTTGACCCATTACGAGTAATTAATAAGTGATAGCTGACTCTGAGTATGTCTCACCACTGCTCTAATGATACCGAAATGGAGTTGGCCTCACACTACATATGTTTTAAGTAGCCATGTGAATGTTTTTGGTTTTAGGAAAATTATTTGGCTGCGTTGCTCACTTGACCTGAACAATGGAGTATTCACCTCATAATCCATACTATAGAGCAGTGGTTTTCAACCTTCCTAATGCTGTGACTCTTTAATACAGTTCTTCATGTTGTGATTCCCCAACCAAAAAATTATTTAATTCCTACTTCATAACTGTAATTTTGCTACTTCTATGAATCATAATGTAAATATCTGATGTTCAGGATATCTGATATGTGACCGCCAAAGAGGTCAAGACCCTCAGGTTGGGAACCATTGCCCTAGAGGGTTTTCATGAGGTTAGAATGAGATGGCTCATGTGACATCGCTCTAGCACATGTGATGTACATCTTTGTATACATGGGTACATAGAAGCAGATACCAAAATATCTTTAATTTTAGCCTTCCTCTCTTCCCCAACTCACTCAATAAAGGTAAATGCAGGATCCTGGTAGTGTCCTTAGTGCAGTATAATGATAAATAGTCTAGGCTATGCAACCAAATACTAACTCCTATACTTAATTGGGTATGTGGCTTTTGCTAGGTTATTTTGACTCTTTAAGCTTCCATTTCTTGGCAGATAAACTAGGTACCTATCTCAAACAGTTACTGTGATAATTCATTAACTTGATATTTGCATGTGGCTTGACACAGTACCTGAAGATTACTGAGTATCTGACAGGTTATTTTCGATTGTATTTACTGTTATATCTGTGGCCACTGGTGAACCCGTGGAAGCATCCGAGAAGTGAGTTTGGAGCAATGTCTCCTGAGGCACAGTGTGTATTGGGTAACAGTTCTGTGGCTGGCTTTTCTTACCAGTGTTAATTCCTCCTTTTCCAAAGCTATCATTTCCCTTCACTTGGGGACTCTGGCCTTGAGAGAACTAGGTAAAATTTGTCTTTCCAGCTTCCTACTAAAAGAAATTTCTCTCTACTGACTTAGCCTGGGCAACTGTCATTTCTAATGGAAAGTTGAAGAGAGAAACCCCTTACCTAGCCACCATGTGTGGAGACTCTTCTGGATAGCAGCCCATAGGCTCTGGGGTTTCAGTGATAACTGAGACACAAATCCTCCATACCACCATGGCGCTTGTAGTGAAGAGAAGAACGGTCCCTCCAATGGTCCACAGTCACCTGGTAAGACCCTTGATGGTTCTTGAGTTCTTAAGCAATTAGACAATTCTTGTGTGGACCATAAGCCATCAAAGGCCTCTGTTTATATTCCAAATTTAGCTGCCCTGTGGCTGTCCTGCTCTGTCACACCACATAACTGGTGTGAGCATGTGAATAATGTGCAGGTGCCAGTGGGGAGAAAAGCAAGTGCCCTTCTCTACGACCAGCAATACCCTTAAACTTTTTTTTGATAACTTTTTATTTAAATTTGCAATAAGCTTGTTTTACATGTCAATACCAGTTCCCTCACCCTCCACTCCTCTCTTGTCTCCCTCCTATCCCCCATCCCATACCCTTTCTGCTCCCCAGGGAGGGTGAGGCCTTCCATGGAAAGTCTTTAAAGTCTGTCATATCATTTAGAGCAGGGCCTAGGCCCTCCCTCGTGTGTCTAGGCTGAGGGAGTATCCCTCTATGTGGAATGGACTCCCAGAGTCCATTCATATACTAGGGATAAATACTGATCCCCTACCAGAGGCCCCATAGGCTGCCCAGTCCTCCTAACTAACACCCACAGAAGAAGCTAGACTTTTATGACAGTATTCTTACTAGAAGCTCATAGTCTCATTGTGTCAGGGGTCCTGGGAATATAGGACTTACTCTGACCTAAAAACCACAGTTAGAGACTGGAAAATGGCTCAGTTGGACAGTTCCTTGCTTTGCACCTGAGTTCAGTCTCCCCGGCACTCATGTAACAACAACCAACAAACAGCTGAGTGTGGTAGTAACATATATTTATAATTTCAGCACAAAAGGGTAGAAACACAGGGATCTCTGAGGCTCACTGGATAAGACAGTCTAGCCTGTTAAGTGCTAGGCCAGTGAGAGAGACTCTGTCTCAAAAAAAAAAAAGCAAGGTAGGCAGCTGCTGAGGAACAATACTTGATGCTGTGCTATGTACTCCATGTGTACACATACATACACACAATTTTCAATTTAAAAAAAAAAATGTAACCACAGAGTCAGAAGTAGCCTCAGCATCTTCAGAGAGTGGCCTCAACCATGCTTCTGCCTGCATGACTGTGGATCCTAGTGTAGGGAAAGGACTATGTGCCCCTACTTACTATTTTACATACCCTGTTTACACAGATTTGGAAAGGAGAAATGAGAAGAGGTGATATAAGTGGAAGAGAGGAATAAAACAGTTACTATCCTTTCTCGCCAACTCTTTTTTGCCACCAAAGCAAGAGTTTTGCATTAGTTTTCTGGTTTATAAGTCTTCAGAGTTTTAAAAAGATAGGTGTGAGTGTGTGTGTGTATGTGTGTGTGTGTATGCCAGATGTGTATGGGTGCCCTAAGAGTCTAGGAGAGGGCGTTGGATCCCTTAGATGGAGTCATAGACAGTTGTGGGCCACCCAGTATGGTTGCTGAAAAAAGATTGTGAGACTTTTGGAAGAGCAGCAAGTTTTCCTGAACGTTGACACATCTCTCCAGCCCAAGTTTTCATATTTTAAAAATGTTAACCACCTCCATTTTCAAACTGCAGCACCATGAAAGCTGATCCCTGTAAGGGCATGCTGCACTCCTGTAAGAACCTAGAAGTTCACTGCACTGCAAGTCCTTCATCAGAATGAACCTCATATCCTATCAGAACATAATTCTCCTAAGTCAGGGGTTTCCAACCTGTGGGTTGTGATCCCTTTGTCAAACCTGTATCTCCAAAAATATTTATAGTATGATTCATAACAGTAGCAAAATTACAGTTATGGTATGGCAACAAAAATAATTTTACGGTTGGGGGTCACCACTACATGAAGAACTGTATTAAGGATTGCAGCGTTAGGAAAGTTGAGAACTGTCCTAAATTATAATCCAGACCAAAGTTGTATTTTATTTGTCACCAAACCACTCTTTCAATCCATTGGGGTCCTACACAGCTGCTGACACAGGTGAGATAGGGCAACAAATTATCCCATGGATTAGAACATCTGATGCTTGTGCTTCTTGAGTTGTATATATACTGAGAATGTGTTCAGCATGAATTCTGTATGGGGATGGCAAATGGCATTTGGTGCTAACTCCCTAGATGCAGGAATGAGGACAGGCTAGGATGGGCCTGAGTCTGGGTCCCTATCTTCCTGTAACTAGTGGTTCTCAGGCTCTTGAGTTATTTTCCTCCCCATCGTCAGAAACTCACCATCTTACTGGACAGCTTCCTTCTGTTCACTTCAGGAAGTAGAGGATGAGAGCAGCCAAGCTCATTGGTGGTTGAAGTCAGGCTCTTTATCATCTGTGATCAATGAGATGTGCCTCTTGTGATGTTAGCTATACAACCTCTGCTTCCCCTGAATGATCCAAGCCCCTGTATCAAAGATGTCCACGCTGCCCTTAACAAGAAGTGGGCAAGCAGACCCCAGTAAAGACACAGAAAAGGATAAGGATACATGGAATAACAGGGATGGTGGCATCCATTACCTGCCACATGTTATTCTTGTTGGAACTTCCAAAGAGTACCTTTTCTTTTAAGGCATTAGGATCCAGTAAATACTATTCTGGAAATTGGGCTCAGTTGTCAGTTTTTCAGCTCATTCCTAAATTATAAAAATACAAAGCATTTTCCAAAACCAAAATGTAATGAATCTTATTGTCTGTGTGCCTTGGTCAGGTATCTCAGAGACCATCAGAGGGGAAAGAAAAAAAAACACTTCATCCTGGTGTGACCTATCCCCTTGGGATAGGCAGCATTTGATCTGTTAGAACAAGACAGGATATCACATGCTTCCATCAGTCTTGGTTACCTTAAGCAAGTGTGTTCTCACCTGAACAACTTTTGATGATCCTTGGAAACCTTTCCTGGGCACTGAAGGGTATCTCATTGTTGTCTGTCTTAGAGAACTCAGCCAGGACTCAAGTTTCAGAACACCAGTACTACACGGCAGCCGTTTGACATTAAACGAGTAGTTTAAGCTCTCTGTAC